GACCGCGCGCGACCGGAGCCGCGCGGAGCTCGACGCGGTCGTCGAGCTCGCGGCGAACCGGGCAGGACAAGAGAGCGAAACTCCCAACTTCAAAGGCTCCGATCTCGGCCAGTTTCCACTCGTTTCGGCTGATTTTTGGACGAGCGATCATCTTTAGGAACGGTCTCGAAGCGTGGATGTTTTTCCCGTAACGCGCGCGCGCGGAACAATCACGTTGAAGCGACGTTGAATCACCCTTGTGCTGCCCAGGCGGCGAACCGCGCGTCCTTCGCCGAGGACCTCGCGCGCGCCGCGGACCGCTGCGACCGCGCCGAGGCCCACGCGGCGCGCCTCGACCGGGACCGCGCGGCGCTCCGGGACCGCGTCGCCGCGCGCGAGGCCGCCGTGCCCGCCGCGTGGCACCGGGCCCTCGCCGAGCACCGCCCGCGCGCGCGGAGCCAGGTCGACGTCGACGGCGACCGCGAGGGCTTCGACGCGTCCGCGGGCGCCGCGGACTACGACGCGTTCGCCAACGACACGCCCGTGCGCACCTACGACCTCTCGAACGCGCGCGGCGGCGACGACGACGGGCCCATGTCCGACGCCGAGGAGGCGTCCTACCAGGACGCGCTCCTCGGCATCTGCATGGACCTGCCCATGCTGCGCGGCCGCAAGGCGTCCTAATAGTTTGGGCGGGGGGGGTAACGGGCACGAGCGCGCCGAGCGCCGATGCGACCGCGGCGCACCCGTGCGCGACGACGTTGCGAAGTCGAGCTCCCGGAGAGGCGGATGTGCGCGACGGGATAGTTGAACAGATATTGAACCGCATGTTGCGCTCGAATGCTCAAATGAGCATGTCGGCCGCGCGTGCAGCTAAGTGAAAGATGGACGCGGCAGAGGATTTCGCCCACGCGGTGCGCACGATCGTTCAACATTTTCGAGGGAATGTAAACGACGCGGGCGAAGATGGAGAGACGCTCCTGCACAAGGCCGCCGCAGCTGGGAACACCTCCATGGTTGCGGCGCTACTCGCCGCGGGAAGCGTGGATCAAGCAGTGGGTCAAGAAGCAGACAGAGACGTGCAATTCGCTCTCCACTATGCGGCTGAAGGGGGACACGTCGAGATCGCGCGCCTATTGGTCAACGCGGGCGGAGATTTAAACGTTCGCAACGTGGACAACGGCACGCCGCTCCACGTCGCGGCTTATAGAGGGCATTTGGAAGTCGCGCGTCTCCTCATATCGGCTGGCGCAAGTATCAATTGCGTGGATGACTGGGGTGATACGCCCCTCCATGATGCGGCTCACATTAAGCGCGGGGCAGGAGTTGTGCGTCTTTTAATCGATGCGGGCTGCAAGCTCGACGTGGAAAACAGAAAACAATCGCAGCCGCTGCATCTCGCGGCGACGGGCGGAGCCGATGAAACGATCAGATGCCTCCTTGCCTTTGGCGCCAACGTGAATAGCGTCGGTGGCTCTTTCGGGACGCCGCTCCGCGCGGCTTTAAGCCAAGGCGAACGTAGCACCCTCGCGGTGCTGCTCGAAGCTGGCGCGACTATTGACATGGAATGGCTCAACTCAATCCCAACCGAACCGCACAATCAGCCCGCCTGGAATTACCTCGAAAAAGTCGTCGCTGCGGGCGGCTACGAGCACCTCGTGCGCACGTACCGCCGCGTGCTCACGGCGCCGCGCGGCTGCCTGACGCGGTACCTGCGGCAGCGCTTCGGCCGCGACGCGCCGCACGATGTCGCCGTGCACGTCCTGGAGTACTGGAAGCCGCCGGGAGGACCGTAACATGCGAACTCAGAAGGGGGTCCGAGCCGCGTGAGGACGGTGAGTCCGACCATCAAACGACGCCGAAGAGTTACACAGAGCCCCTACGCATGTCGGCCAGCTTCGGCCAGCTTCGGCCGGCTTCGAAGCCAGCCCCCCCTACGCTGTCACCAGCTTCGAAGCCAGTCAGAAGCATCTAGAAGCCGGCGAAGCCGGCGAAGCCAGTCACCGCGACTCAGGCCTGCCTCTGCGAGCCGGACGCCAGCCGTGCCGGCATCTTGCGATTGCGCCTTCAAAGCGATGGGCTCCACTTCGCGCGCAATGGCGCGACGCGCGCTGCTGATCGTCACGGCGCTCTTGAACGCGCATCAGTGCGTCGCCTTCGTGCCGCAGAGCAGCGCCGTGCGCAACACCATCGTGCTCGCGGCGGCCAAGCTGCCGCCGCCGCCGCCGCCGCCGCCCAAGGTCGAGGTCGACGACGTTTCGAAGCAGATCGCGGACGCGTCGGCGGCGGCGTCGAAGTCGCTCGCGGACGCGTCGGCGGCGGCGTCCGAGGCCATCGCGCGGGCGACGGCGGACGCCGCGCAGCAGGCCGGCCCGGCCGCGGCGGAACTCGGCGCGAAGCTCTCGGCCGCGTCCGCCGACGCCGGCAAGACGCTCGCCGCCGCGTCCGCCGACGCCGGCAAGTCGCTCGCCGCCGCGTCCGCCGACGCGGGCAAGACGCTCGCCGCCGCGTCCGCCGACGCGGGCAAGACGCTCGCCGCCGCGTCCGCCGACGCGGGCAAGAGCGCGTCGGTCGCCCTCGAGCAGGCCGTCAAGAGCGTCGACACCGACGCCGCCGCCAGGGGCCTCGACGCGGCGCTGAAGACGGCGGCGGCGAGCGTCGACGCCGCGACGAAGAGCATCGACACGGACGCCGTCGTCGGGAGCCTGAAGCAGGCGGGCGACGTCGCCGCGAAATCCGTCGAATCGACGGCGAAATCCGCGGCGCAGTCCGTCGAATCGACAGCAAAGAGCATCGACACCGACGCCATGCAGAAGGGCCTCGACGCGGCCCTCAAGAAGTTGAGCGCCGACCTCGACGCGGCGACCGCGTCCGCGGCGAACGGCGTGGACACCGCCGCGGCGCAGAAGGCGCTCGACGCGTCGCTCCGGAAGATCGGCGCGGACCTCGACGCCGCGACCCGGGCCGCGTCGACGAGCGTCGACTCCGCCGCCGCGCAGAGGAGCCTCGAGTCGGCCCTGAAGAAGGGGAGCGCGGACCTCGCCGCCGCGACGAAGCGCGCGGACCTCGACGGCGCGACGAAAAGCCTCGACGCGGCGCTCGCGAAGCTAGGCCGGGACCTCGACGCGACCGCGAAAGAGGTCGACGTCGAGGCCGCGCTCAGGAAGCTCGGCGCGGACCTCGACGCGGCGACCAGGGCCGCGGCGGGCGGCGTCGACGCGGACGCCGCCCTCTCGAAGATCAAAGCGGACCTCTACGCCGCGACGGAGACCGCGGCGAAAGCCGTCGATTCCGCCGCGGCGCAGCAGAGCCTCGACGCGGCCCTGAAGAAGGTGAGCGCGGACCTCGACGCGGCGGCGAAGAGCGTCGACGCGGGCGCCGCGTCCAAGAGCGTCGCGTCGGCGCTGGCCAAGGTCGGCGCGGACCTCGACGCCGCGACGAAGACCGCCGCCAAGTCCATCGACGCGGAGGCCGTCGTCGGGAGCCTGAAGCAGGCGGGCGACGTCGCCGCGAAATCCGTCGAGTCGACGGCCAAGTCCGTCGACGCCGCGACGAAGACCGCCGCCAAGTCCATCGACGCGGACGCCGTCGCGGGCTCCCTCAAGAAGGCGGGCGACGTCGCCGCCAAAACCGTCGAGTCGACGGCCAAGTCCGCCTCCGACGGCCTCGCCGCGCCGCGGGCAAGAGCCTCGAGAGCGTCGACACGACGGCGGCCAAGGAGTCCATCCTCGGCGCGTTCCGACAGGCCTCCGACGGCCTCGGCGCCGCGTCGAAATCCGTCGACGTGGCCTCGCTGGGCAAGTCCCTCGGCGTCGCGCTGCCGAGCCTCGACGCGCTCCGGGACGGGCTCATCGCGAACGGCGTCCCCGAGGACCAGGTCGCCACCCTCGGCTTCGCCGCCGTCGCCGCCGCCGTCGGCGTCGTATCTGCCGCCGCGGGGACCGCGGCGACGCCGGCGCCGACGCCCGCGGCGACGGACGCCGAGAAGGCGGCCGCGGCGGCCATGGCCAAAGCCGAGGCCGAGGCCAAGGCGGCCGCGGAGGCCAAGGCGGCCGCGGCCGACGCCGACGCCGAGGCGGCCGCGGAGGCTCGGGCCAAGGCGGCCGCGGACGCCATGGCCAAGGCCGAGGCCGACGCCAAAAAGGCCGCGGAGGCCAAGGCCAAGGCGGAAGCGGAGGCCAAGGCCAAGGCCGAAGCCGAGGCGAAGGCCAAGGCGGAAGCTGAGGCCAAGGCCAAGGCCGACGCCGAGGCCAAGGCCAAGGCCGACGCGGACGCCAAGGCGGCCGCGGACGCCAAGGCCAAGGCCGACGCCGCGGCCAAGGCGGCGGCGTCGAAGCGGGCCCCGTGGCGACCCGCGGCCGCGAGCGAGGACGTGACGCGCTTCACGGCGTTCTGCGTCAAGTTCGACAAGGTCTACGACACGGAGGCCGCCTACGCGGAGCACTTCGCGCGATGGAAGCAACGCGACGCGGAGATCGCCGAGCGGAATCGGGCCACGCCGCCCGGCGAGGCCAAGCTCCGACTCAACAAGTTCGCCGACCTCTCCGAGGAGGAGATCGCGGCCCTCACGAAATAAAAAGCCGAGGTGTCGTCCGGAGGAGCGGAGCTTCAAGGTGACTTCATCAGGTCAATGATGAAAAGTGTGAGGCGACTCAGTCGTACGACCTCAAGCACTCGATCCATCAGAGCGTGCCGTCCACCGCTACCGCTAATAACAATATGAAGCTCCTCAGCATCTTCGCCGTTCTCGCCAGCGCCGCGGCGCTCGCGCCGACGCCCGCGCGACGCGGCGTCCGACGATGTTTCGCGCGCGCGCGCCCGGGGCCGGCCCCGCGCCGTCATGAACGCTGACGCCGCTCGCGCAGGTGCAGCAGCGCGCCGCCGCCGTCGCGCCGACGAAGCTGCCCCAGTTCGCCGCCGCCGCCGCCGTCGCCGCGGCGCCGCTGCCGGCCATGGCCGTCGACGCCGGCGACCTCATCCTCCCCGTGGGCGGCCTCACGCTCCTCCTCACGGGCGTCATCGCGGGCATCCTCGGCTACACGACCATCGGCGACGGCCCGGCCAACCCCAAGAACAAGTAGGGTTCCGCGCGAGCGGCACGACGCCGCGCCCGCGGCAAGTAACGGAGCGCGCGTCGGTTTCGGTTTCGGGGAGGGGGCGGCGGCTCGCGCGCGGGTCCGGGGGGGGCGGGGACTTGTCGCTCAGGGCAGCGTCGGGTGGAGGCTGATGGCGTTGTTCGTGGCGTAGTCGTCGGGGTCCTTGGGCTCGTCCTCGACGTCCGCGCCGGCGCCCTTGGCGCGGCACGCGCAGCAGCGCGCGGCCACGCAGCAGGCGGCCGCGACCGCGGCGACGGCCGCGGCCGACGCGACGGCGATGGACGCGACGGACGCGCCGTCCGGGCCGTCGTCGTCGGCGTCGAGGAGCGGGGCCGCGGGCGCGGCCGTCGGCGGGCGCGACGGAGGGGCGGACGGCGCGGCGGACGACGGCGCGCGCGTCGGCGCGGTGGTCGGCGCGCGCGTCGTCGGGGCCGTCGTCGGGCGGGCGGTCGTCGGCGCCGCCGTCGGCGCGTAGGGCGCGCGGTCGCCGGGCGCCGTCGGCGCGCGCGTCGGCCGCTCGCCCTGGTCTTCCGGGGGCGCGGCGGCGGCGCACGGCGGCGGGAGCGACTCGAAGGCGTCGACGGTCATGACGACGA